CTGCCGATTGTTCGCTTTATTTCCTGAAAGGATTACTAACTTTCATGATAACCGTGAAGGGAGTAGTTTATTAGCTCATTTGTTTCCTGAATTTGTTTTCTCTATTCTAAATCTAAATTATTTTTTTCTAAATCGGCAATTTGAGTAAACAAACCCAAATTAATAGAATCATCAAATTTTCTTTAATTTATTCGATGATCATTATCTGTGTTTAGGACTGAACTGTCGAAGGTATCCGAAAATTCAGCATGGCAATCGTTCGTTATGGGAACGTACTGGGCTTCTGCGAAACTTGTCATCTTATTTGCTATACTATGCTATCTAATCAGCGGTTATCAGTTGTCTGCTGAACGCATTTTTGTCGCTGTAAGCTTCTTTTTTCAATTAGATACATTTTGGACAATACTGATATCGTACTTCGATCAGGTGTCGTATAATTGCAGTGCAAAAAATCAGTGGAATCGGTGCATCTAGCAGATTCCGGGAGCTTCATTAAGCTGTAACCAAGCAAACTTCAGTTCCACCACTTTATTTTAAAACTTTAATCATCTGCAGTTCTTTATTGGTACTCGAAATTTACTGCTGCTGTGCTGAAATCGAGTGAAGCTTTTTTTTTCCCTAATCGCTTGTCTTCTTTGCATGCTTTCTGATGGTTCCCTCTTTTGAGGGTTGCTTACAAATAAGCGAGTGATGGGGTTGATTACTTGGCCTGTACCAGTTTACCATCGAAACGAATGAATGAATCGTTGAGGGACTGGTCGTAGTCGAAATCTCCACCTATTGCAAGACAACAGTGCTACTTCCCTTTGCACCATTTCAGATTCATGAGAACTAGAATCGCTTCTGAGACTGAATCAAGTTGGACGTTCTTTTTTTTTTTCAGGCAGCGCTATACAATTCATCACGGTTGCCCATTGCTTTGTTTCTGCCATTCGCTTTTCAAAGCATTTTTGAATGCCGTGTTTCACTGTCGCGTCTGCAAAAATTCCTGGAATTAGAAGAATATGACGAAAGCGATACGACAGACAAGATTATTGCTGATGGCATTGCCAATGATGAAACTCACAATGAAAAGGTTTTCTCACTGCACTTTTTATTGTGATATTTTTCTCCCTAAAATCTTTAATTTTCTCTTTGGATGTATTTGTTGGACTCAGGCAATGTGATCAAGTTTTTTTGGGAGAAGGTGGTCGATTTTTTTTCGATTTTTGAAATCGAGGGGCATTTCTTGAACTTAGAGGGTTAGTATGAGATAAACAATCCCATTGCGATTCGTTAATTTTATTTCGATGATAAACTGTACTGACGCATACCGGCGGACCAGAACTGCAATCATCTTGTTTGTAAGCAAACACTGGAGGAGGAAACCATCGACGGTCTTGTTTACGCGAGGTTTCTGTTTGCACTCAGACTACTTCCGATTGTCTCCTATTCTCAGAGAGAATGAAAACGATGGAGATTTGGACTTCGACTGTGATCAGATATCTAGCTGTTTCACCCTTCAAATTATTCCTTTGATTCTGTAAAATTTTAAAGTATCGACGACTAAGATTCTTTTTTTTCGAAAAAAAACTTTTTCATCTGAGATTCAAAATATAGTTCCTGGCAACGGTGGACATCGATCCATCAATGCAGTTATGCTTACTGTTGTGATAACCGGACTGAGCTTTGATGAACCAAAGTTCTAAAGTATCCAGTTGTTGCCTATGGTACACTTCTGCAATGGAATGTTGTTTTCTTGTCATTCTTGCGTTAATTGTTTTCAGGTGCCGCTACTCAAAGTGAAGTCAGAAAGCTCGGTTTCCTCCATTTCAGACGATGAAAAGCCACTTGTGGAATTAATCAACTATTCATCCACATGGAATGCCCAGGTTTTGCTTTTTGGAAATTTGATTTTCAGCACTTCGTATGAAAATTTTAGTTTTTTCGCCGGTTGTATATTTTTACCAAAAAAAGTAGAAATTTTAACTCTGCGGTAGAGGCTTTATGTTGTAATTATTATAGCTGTGAAATTTTTAGGCCAATTGATCAAATTTTGCTCATTTTGGGGATTTTTGCGCTTTCTTGGTCAAATTTAATTTTCTGCCCTTAGCTTCATTTTCTTTTGAGTAGGCTAACTCATTTTTTTGCACTTTACTTTGAACAGATAATTTTATTTAACGGTTGGGCGAGAAAATTCGCATTTTTATCTACTTTCGATCAACTATGCCGTTAAGAAAATCAGAAACAAAATTTGAATTCTTTGGCTATTGTGAGATGTGACACATTCAAAAATGGCCCCTTTGGTACCACAATGCTAGCAGCACTGTCTGTTGACAGGGTCATCCC